TTCAAAGGTATGCTGCAAACACCATGCATTGATGAAGATGATACTGGACCAGCTGGATCAACAGATGTTGTTAAAAGTGTAAATAGGGACTGAATTGATTGTGTACAGGGACTAGATTGTACATGACTGTAAATATTAGTTCTTGGTTTGTAAATATTTTAGATCAATTAGCCAACTGATCATTAGCAAGCTTTATTATTTGTTCATATGATTAACCACCTTTGTATTTGTATATAATACAGCACTTTACGTGCTAATCAGTAATGAATAGAAAATTTCCACAAAACCATCTTCTTCTTCCAACTGTTTATCCATGGATTCCCTCTTCCTTTCTATAAACCCTAGCTACCTTTAGAAAGCTAAAACATCTAGATTGCTTTATCCTTCTCTCAAACAATGGGTTTATCTCCACTTACTTTAATCTGGACCAATAAAATTTAGTTTTCGAAGAAACAAAACCTTAAACACTTGTGCATTGCGGTTGCTTTCAATGATCAATCCCGTCTATTTATAATGTAAAACCAAAAAAAAAAAAAGACCAAACAAATAAATGCTCTCATAAATCAGGTCTAAGCAGATAAGTTTTCCTACCTTAGTCATGTGATAAAACCAAGGCAGGGGCTGACGATAGAAGCGATTTCTTTCCTCTCCTGTTCGCTGTCAGACCCCGATTCAGGGGCTGATGAATTGTTTCACCCGCAAGAGTGATTAGATTGGGTAGTTCATTCTTCCTAGCAAAATAAATTTGATTACTAACTACAGTAGAAAAGATATAACTCCAAATCCGATTACTATTAATTAAAAAGAACAGGAAATTATCTAAAAATTCACGGTCAAATAACAAAGACCACCACTAATCCTACCACCGTGCATCGCCGCCTCAACCTTTCACTACTGCAGTCTCTGGCGGCGGCGGCTAGGGCTTGCAACCGAGGACCTGAGGCTTAGGGTTCATGCTAAGTCCCAAGTGAGATTTGTTGAAACAGGATTTCATAGAAGGAAGAAGTTTTATCGATGGCTTAACAGCCTTCGATGAATCCATGCCGTGCGGCTTCATTGTGAATGGAGATTTTCGGATTAATTGACAAAGAAATTGAAGAAAAGTGGAGTCTTTTTAGGTGGAAGACGCCGTACGCGGTCTGATTTTTGGTAGAGGAGAAGACGTCGTCGCTAAATTTCTTTTTAATGGGAGTTGGTTTTCTTTAATTTTGCAGGTAAGGCCCCCTTCCAAACTACGTTGTTTTGACAAGGTGAGTTATGGGGTAAAGTAGGTTTTTCGTTTAAAATTAGGGGGTTGCGGGGAATTTTTATTTTTGCAGGTGACCCCCTTTCCAAACTACGTCGTTTTGAGAAGGGGGTTTGTTGGCAAAATTTTATATTTTTTAATTGTTCACGATTTATTGAATGACTATTTTAACCTAATTAAAAATTTGAGGTGACTATGATGCAAGGATGATGTCACATGACGACCGTCCGGCCAATCAGATTACAAGAAATTATTTGATCAAGCGTGATTTTTATATTAACTTATTATTATTATAGATAAATTGATTGAAGGTAACCGACCTAAACAAGTATAAATAGATGTAGTAGTTACCTTTACAAGCCAAGGCAAGTCTTCTATCTCTTTGGCCTTCATTTTTAGTTTGTGTGTTGGCTTCATTGTTGAATATATTATTTTTGTGTGTGTGTGTTGTGTGTGGGTGTTTTTTTTTTCTCTTCCATGAAGTGTTTTATTTACTTCTCGCTTCACAATTATCTAATACTATTTGTTTTATATTATTTGAGTACTATCAGTATTACCTAACCGAGATTAGTACCTTGATTGTTATAAAATTAAATAAAGTATAAGAAGCATCAAATTTCGTCAGTTCATACGTGTTAATGTTCCTATAGAAGAACTTATAGTACTCTCTCCGTCCCAGTAAAAAATAGAATAATTATTTTGTAATAGAGTGATGAGTAGTACATTTGCTTTCTCTGTAGGTTTTTTTTTTTTTTTTCTTTTTCCCTTTTCCACTTCCACCACTTTACGTATGCGTAGGCTACAGAACTTCGCCTGAACAATGATGAACAGAGCGAGCGAAAATTCGAAAGAAGTCGATACATACCAGCCTTTGATTCATTCCAAATTACACATGAGCCAAATATAAATTTCATGACACAAATCCAAGAGATCTCGTTAATTAATTCATACGTTTTTCCAGCACTCTGAAATTCTTTCCTACTACCTTTGTCCGAAAATAATTCTGTCAAACAATTTTAATACAATATGGCTATCAGTTTGGAATGGACAGAGCAAATATATTTTGGCTCAATCTTTTGATTTCTTCGTTTCCTCCACAGTTTCTTCCTAAGTTTACGAAGCTCTTTCGTGTAGCAGTGCGATCATCATTGCAAGAACTAAGGTAAAACCTGCATAGAGACATATGATCAACAATTTCGTTTAACTCCTCAATTGAATCTTAAAGGACACTCAATGAATAAAAATCCTTCAAAACTTCAGAGATTGCACAATACCTTTAGTCGGCCAATGGCATTTCAAGAAAGAATAGGCTCAAAAAAATTAAAAATAAAATGGATAGATTAGATAAATTTTCCGTCCCATAGTAAACCAGGTTTGGCCAGGTCACAACTTCAATTTTCGGTTTTATTTTTTTTTTCTTTTTGGTGGTAATTGGGGGCGGGGGGTTTCAGAACACATAAATCACATTCATTATTGTATTTTGTGGAGTTTGATTCATAATTTTGTATTTTAATCATATATTCCTCTGTAAAAAAAAAAAAAATTCACATCGAGTTTTGAGATTTGTAATATATTAGTATAAATCTTAAAATTCAATGTGAATTTTTTTTTTAGACCGAGTAATTTACATACACATATAATTGGAATTGTAAAAAAATTCAAATATGAATCATTGTGAACCATAAAATTGCAAAATAAGATTTTTGAGTGATGATACATGTAGGGAAAATTTGACAAGGAAATTCATAAGGTATGATGTGGTTGATTATTATCTATCCCTACTTCTTAAATGGATAAACCTTTAAAGGTAAGCTATTAGTATAGACAATTATAATCTATTCTCAGTTAAAGTTCCTTGTGTATCCTAATATGTTTTAGGACATACACATTTTAGAATCACTACTACTATTATAGGTCAGAAGGAATTACATACATGACTATGAATCCATCATAAAATGTATATTACCAAATACGATAGAAAAATGAGAATACATTTGTTAGGACTCCTTTTTTAGAAAACACTACTGTTGTACCCATGCGTTGCAAGGTGAGAAAACGTACTTTATATTTTAGATTTTTTTTTTCAAAATGAAGTTGATAGATAATTTATTGGAAATGATGACTTTTAAGTGTAATATTTGTACAGACCATGTAAAATGACGTATGTACAAATTGTACTAAATAAAAGGGAAAATTATGATTAAGGGCATGAGAACATTTTATTTTATTATAAAGGGCATGGATTTTTTTACTACTATTCAAATACTTTTGCAATATTTTCACTTTTTAAAAGACTATGATGCCCATCATCCCTTTCACTTCATTCCAACTAATTTTTCTCTTCCCAAATCTCTACCGACTCCCCTTCACCAAATGCTTACAAGTCACATGTTTACCAATTTATTTCCTTATTTTGCTTTTTTTCTCGGTACCGATCAACTGCAAAATTATAATTCTCTTATTTGGTTATTTTTCACAAATCAATTGAGTTGAACTTTTGAGACCATGTCAATTTGATAATCGTCGTTGGAGAATAAGTTTGATCTTAATATATATAATCCAATTTCATTGAGATTGTTTTGGTAGAACCAATAGCAGTCATAATTGCCACTTGTAATATAGGGTTTGTCACTTATATCAGAGGTTAAATTCTTATTCTAATTAATCATATGATAGATTTATTTTTTTTAAAAAAAAGATTAACATAGATTAGACTTATGTAAAATGGAATTAATAGGAACTCAAAGTATTGGGTAACAATTAGAAATGTAGAAATACTGGAATCTAGAATGTTGGACTCATGAAAATCAGTTTTGGTTTCACGACTTGAATGGGTGTTGAAAATGTCAAGTAATTAAGGATAAAATTGTCATTTGAAGTGTGATAAAAAAAATAAAATAACGTGATAATGATAAAAAATAACTAATGCCCTTTATAATAATTTGTATCTTTCTGATGCCCTTTATAGAAATTCTCCCAAAATAAAAATTTAAACTGGACAATTATTTGGGGACGACGAGAATACTCTTTACATCTCATTTTATAACTCAACTTTGTTGAAATAAAACTGGACAAAGTGGATACGTGAAATATGATAAGACAATACTGAGTTTTTGTCCATCAAAATTCATTCAAGTGATATTGACAATGAGAACTAACTTGGTTCACGACAATTGCGATAGAAAGTTACCTAAATCTATCTTATCGATCGCAAGATAAATGTCTGCATGATGTGCACACCTAAACAAATATGATGAGCCGTAATTTTGTCCAATTTTTTTTTTTTTCCCAGGACTAAAGCCCAACTGGGTATGTTTTTCACCATTTGACTTGGCATTTGACATCTTAAGTCTCAAATTGTGAACTTAAGTTTCGACGCAATCTTTAGAAAGTCCAAAAAATTGTCGATTTCTTGTGATGTGAACCTCCCCACCGCCCTGCGTATGTTATTCTACATTATAACTTTAAATAACTTTTAAGTTGAACATTTAACAAATCACGGATGCAGCTCAGATAGTAGAGCGCCCGCGCAGCAAGCAATAACTACGGGTATCGATAGCCCGCATCTCCTTCATGTGGGATGTAGCTAGCTCCTCAAGTCGAGCGCTTGCTTTGTTTTTTTATTCATTATTTTTTTTCATATATCAAAGATTAAGGAGGGATCGGTGATCCATAAATAAAAGCTCCATTTTGCATAGACGGTTTGGCTTATAAGGAGCAACTTCAGATTATATTTGGGCAGAAAGTGGAAGATGTGCATTTTATTAATGTTCCTGCTATACAATAAGGAGTTTAGTTCCTTGATTGTTATCATATTACATAAAGTAGAAGAAGCACCAAATTCTGTCAGTTCATATGCATGAATACGATATAGCAGAACTAATAGTGCTCCCTTCGTCCCTTTGTTGGTTTTTTTTTTTTTTTTTTTCCACTCCCACCACCTTCAAGTATGTGTATGCTACTGAACTTCGGCTGAACGATGATGATAGGAGCAAGCGAAAATGCGAAAAAAAAGTCGATTGACACCAGGCTTTGATTCATTCAAATCACACGAGCCAAAGATAAATTTCATGACACTAATCCAACTAGAGACCTCGTTAATTAATCCATAGTTTTTCTAGCACTCTGAAATTATTTCCTACTACTTCTGTCCGAAAATAATTCTATTGAATAATTTTAATACAACAAATAAGAAAATCATTTTAGGGCTGAGAGAGGAAATTTATTTTGGCTCAATCTTTTGATTTATTCGTTTCCTCCTGTTTCTTCCTAAGTGTACGAAGCTCTTTCATGTAGTAGTGTAGTCTGTCGATCATCATTGCAAGAAATAAGGTAAAACCTGCATGGAGACATATGATCAACAATTTAGTCCAACTCCTCAATTTATTTTTAAGGACACAATGAATACCAAATCCTTAAAAAATTGAGAGATATTACAATAATTTTAGTCGGTCAATGGCATTTCAAGAAAAAAGAGGATGACTAAAATTAAAAAGGAAAATGGATAAATTAGATGAATTTCCCGTCCATAGTAATAGTCATGTTTTGTCAAGTTACAAATTTAATGTTCAGGTTTTATGTTGATTCATTATTTTGTAGTTTAATCATATATTTCATCTGTCCCAAAAAATAGTTCACATTAAATTTTGAGATTTTTAATATTTACGATAAATCCTAAAACAAAAAGTTATTTTTGTTTTTTTAGATAGACGGAGTGATACATATATAATTAGATTTGTGAAAAAAACTCAAATATGACACAATCAATGTGAATTGTGAAACATATAATTGCAAAATCAGATTTTGAGTGATAATACATATAGGGACATTTCAATGAATTGCAAGAAATGATGTGATTGAATGTTATCTATTCTCTATGTCTTAAATGGACAAAACCTTCAAAGTATGGAATTTACAAGGAATGATGAAGTTGAATCTTATTTATTCCCTATTTCTTAAATGGATAAATCCTTAAAGTTTAGGTATGAATGTAGATAATACTCACTATGTCCCAAAATTATTGTCCAGTTTGATATTTCACTTTTAGTATAATTTCAAATGAAAATTCAAAGTGGACAATAATTGTAAGATGGAGTGAGTATAATTTATTTTTAGTTAAAATTCTCTGTGAAATTTTGGAGTACAAATCAATATTCTAAGATTTTGTAGGACATACACATTTTAGAATCAATACTACTGGGTCAGAATGGATTACATACAGGACTATGAATCCATCATAAACACATGTTACCAAGTACGTTAAAAAAATGCGAATACCATCCTGACAAAGGCCACGTATGATTTTTTTTAAAAAATTATCCTTATATACCTAAACCATGGAAATTAAATGTTGCTTTCCTGAATTATTTACGTTAGTTTTTTCATTAATACTAAAATCCAAGCAAGAAAAAAATATATATTCAACTAATAATCATGGTGATATGATATCATTAGACGTCTTAACAGAACATAACTTTAGACAGACAAATAATTTTTTTCTTAAAGAATCTAATTGTTATGATGATATATGAAATTTATTAGCTAGATGACTATAATTAGTATTCCTTACTTGGTACTCCTTCCGCCTCATTTATTAGTCTTTTTTGTGCAATAAGAATATTGTATAAAGTGGTTACAAAAATGGGGCAGAAGAAGTATTTTAAGTTTTTCTGCTACAAAATTCATTCTAAGTGACTAAACGATGAGATTTAAGACATTCTGGACAAAAACTAACATAAGTGATTTTTAATTTTATTTTTGTTTTTGTTTTTGCAGTATTTTCATTCAATAACTATGAGTTTTTATTTTGGGATGGACAAATTTCATACTTCATAACCTTAAAAACTAGCCCAAATGAAGCAAAAACGATTCCAAGACATGAACAAACTTACCCAAAAGACAGGCTTCAAGAATATGATTGAGCAAAAGAATCTGATCAGGTGGGTTTATATGTCCAGATTCAGCAGAACGCTTCTGAACTTTCATGATATTGTAGAGAATAGAGACGAGAATCATGAACAAAGTGGCAGCCACGGTTTTTGCCACCACAGGACCTTGACCTCTCTTCATTCTGTCCAACAGCATAACCATTGGTTTCCTTAACGGAGTCCTAAACAACAGTGTAAGTGTGAAGAAAACTTCAACAGAAACAAGTGCTAAAAATGGCTGAATCATTTTCTTCCTTTTAGTGTTTGATTGGAAACTAGATTGAAACTGTATGTATTGTCGAGGATTTTTTTGCAAGGATTTTTGAAAACCAATGAAAAACACAATCAAAGTTTGTGACCAAATACATCAATGTTGGAAAGTTCTAGTAAGTGATTTTGTGGCACGATAATTAATCATGTAAATGTAAGAGGCAAAGGAAATTAAGGCATCAATCCAATGAAGGCAGCAAGCTAAAGCATGGTATGAGTGGGTGATTGAAGCAAAGAATATATTTGTCGGAGTAGTACGTTAGAATATTCAAAAGTAATTAAAGTGCAATTTTTTAATGAATTTTGGACTGAAAAAGATACTAGTGTTTTACCTTTCTAACATAAAAATGAAATCAAATCAAAAGAAAAAAAAGGGCTACTAGTTAATTAACGCTGGCTTATTCAATTTCTTTGATTTAATCACGGGGACATGGTGGTAATTATATTTAAGAATACATAGTTAGTACTGATGTTGTGAGCGATGTATTAGAGGGACATTTTATCATTATTATGTGTGACTAGGTAGAGTCAATTTTCCAAGAAAATGAGTATCATTAACTACATTTTATCGTTTAGTGCATTTTATTCAATTGTTACTTATTCTGTTTCATTTATTCCTCATACTCTTGGCTTGCAATTAATTCGTTTGAATCAATTCAGTGAAACAATAAAATAAAATAAAGACGAACCAATTCAAAACAATAGGGAAAATACACATTATTAATTTATTCAAATGCACATTATTAAACACTACAGTAGCTGGAGAAAAAGTTAATGATGATAATAATAAGGAACTCAAAAGATTTATTCTCCAGAACTAAAACGTTGATTTCCCCTTATTCATAAGATCAACTCAGCAGTTGCATGCATCAAGGTTTTGTCTCCGCAACGCCACCACCATAACCTCCACCAAATCCACCACCATCACGCCCACCTCCCCAACCATAGCCACCGTCGCCTCCGGCACCATAACCACTTCCACCACCACCACCAAGATTGCCGCCTCCAAACCCACCGGGTCCCGCCCCGAAACCCAATCTTCCACCAAGACCCGCACCAACACCAGCACTGATTCCTCCACCGATGCCCGGCCCTCTACTGCCGCCCGTAACACCACCACCACCGCCGCCGCCACCAAAGTTAACACCGGCGCCGATACCAGCTCCAATGCCCACATCAATACCAGCTCCGACGCCTCCCATTCCGGGAGCACGAGCACCGGCTCCCCCTCCTCCTCCTCCTCCTCCTCCTCCTCCCGGTTGACCACCACCAAATCCGAAGTGTCCATTGTCTACCAGACCACCTTGATCATTACCGGAAACTTCGTCGGAAACTTCATTCTCCAGCAAAACTCTGCTAGCAGAAATGTTGCATGCAAGAACACAAAAGAGAACTAAAAGAAGAAGCTTAATAGCCATCCCTAGAAAGCATGCAAATTACAAAATGTGGTAAAAACCTCGATATGTAGAAGGGTTTATATAGGAGGAAAAGGTAGCTGGTTAATTTAATGTTCTACGTGGGATCGTGCATGTTAGACAAAATTCTGAGGATATTTGTCTCCAATTTCTTAGGGCTATTTTTTTTTTCTTTTCTTTTCAAGAATGAGTGCGTGTGTGCGTGTTTTCAATGTTGTTGTACAAAAGTATCTGATTTTGATGCGTGTTGGGAAGCGGGGGCGCATTTCTCCAACTTCAATTTATTAGACACTGAAAAGGTGATGAATTGGATTAATCAAAGAAAGAGAGCTGACTATAGCAATAAAGACTATATAACACTTTGGTTGTATCGAAAGCAAGTCAAAGTGCATGGAAATGCAGAATTTTAACTTACGGGATAATGGCATAGGAGAAAGGTAATAGCTAGATGTAGTCAGAAGAGTTCTGCATGCAGGCTTTGGTCAACTTGCACAATGAAGACCGTTGAAATCGAGTGGACGTCTATCTAATCCATCACTTCCTATTAAATCGTGAGGAAAGTACAATGGTATTGACATTTTTCAGTTGCACTTAAATCGTGACAAAAAGTATGATATTGTTGACATTTTTCATCTGCGTGATACATTAGTCAACTTGTTTAAAAATTTTATCTCTTCTATTAATTGTAAAAAAGAAAAAGAAATGAAAAGAAAAATGAAAGAAAGATTGATTGCGAAGTATGAGTAGCATCATCCATTCATGAAATAGAATTGAATTATCGCCCTAAGCAGTCTTCCAAGATTACAAGAAGTCACATGATCCCTCTTCCGAAATTATTATCCAGCTTAAAATTTTACTTTTAATATAATTTAAATAAAAATAAAAATTTAAACTGGATAATATTTTCGGAATGGAGAGAATAATATCTACGATAATTTAGTTTCAAGACTTTTAATCCGCTTAGCATTAAGTTGCGAACATCTTTGAAGGAGAAATATTTTTATCGTGTACAGTAATGTCACTCTTACATTGCTGACTAAACCTCTACCAACATTGTAATAAAACTTGTCGCGTATGTGCTTGTTACTCTCTCTATTTCAAAATGTAGGTTATTTTAGACTCTGCACGTAAATTAAGAATACAACTATTTAGCAATTAATTTGTGTGTTAAATATCTAATTTACCCATCATTTATTATTTTGGAATTATAATCAAAACTAGAAGAAAAATAGTTAGCATCATTTATCGAGTGCAAAATTGAGAAATTAATTAATAATTTGCTTTGAAATCTTAAAACGAATTACATTTTGAAATATTTTTCCAAACATAAAACGATCTATATTTTAAAATAGAAGGAGTAGACAGATCTTCTACTCGTTGAATGACATGTAGTTGCTAATAATCTAAAGCATCGACCAAAATAAACAAATAAATAATAAAAAATTAGTTTCTCGATATATATGTTTCATGACCACTCTCCAAGCTTGACTTATGACAATGCCAATATGCTTTGAAAATCCTGAGGCTCCTTCGCCCACCATTATTGTATTGAATTTCCACAACTCATATTAGTAATCTAAATATCCATATCTTTAATCGCAGAGCATCTTTAATCGCAGATCATCCTCAATTGCCAACGTTCCGCTACAATGCATGATTGTTTTATATACAATATGTAAATCGAAATTTTAACTCACTTTGAAAATAATAATTTTACCTGTCCTAAAAAGATAATCCGTATTGTTAGTATAAACTTAAATACTTTATATTATCTATTTTTTAGCAGAGAGGAGTATCACTTTCACGAGTGTAAACTGTTGGTTAAACTATAAAAAGTATTCGAAAAGGCTAAGAAAATAGAAAGATAGAATAATTCAAGACTTGTGAAAACACGATTTTTTTAAAACAGATTTGCCCTTTCCTAGGTGCTTGAGGATCTCGAGTAATTGTTTCCCAAAATACAACAGAAACGCAAAGAATTCTTAGTAGAAAGAAACTCTGCCAACGAACTGGAAATCAGAAAACTATGATGAACACCGGAAACAGAAGAGAAGAAAGGCTCGAAAGAAAACTAAGAAGAGATGGGAGAAAGGTGTGTCGAACTTTGGAAAATGAGTGGCTATTTATAATCTGGAGAAACCATTTAACTTAACTGAAACGTCAAGAGTCATTGTAGCAAATTGAATGCTGACAAGTTTACGCGTTTTCGGCCATTCAAACTGCCCATTAAGACTATTAACTCAGCAGGTCAATAAGGTCATTTGAAGTTGACAATATGCTCATCCATTTCTGAAAACAGCCAAAAACATTCAGCATTATTCCAAACCATTTAGACCGTGTTCGATTCTGTCAACCTGACCTCTCCAGTGAATTTATTGGAAAAATTAATCTGAACCGGAGCAAAACGTGGGTTGATCAGGCCCGCGAGAGTTTGGTTCGACATTTGTGTCCGCAGGTCGTGCACATACGTGAATCAAGCTATTTTGGTCCCAAATTGGACCCTCATTTGCACTCCCCCTGCGCGGGCGCACACGAGCGGGATATATGGAGTATAATAATGGCAAGGCAACTTGCACTTCAATTTTGAGATTTCACTTATAAAGTGACCTCCAATTCCTCCCAACACCAATGTAGGACAAAATTCCCTAGCTCAAACTCATTTTTCAACTCTTGAGAAATTTAATTCTCATTCACTTCTTACTCCTCCCATTTGCACCCCCTGCGCGGGCACACGCGAGCGGGATATATGGAGTATAATAATGGCAAGGCAACTTACACTTCAATTTTGGGCTTTCACTTATAAAGTGAGCTCCAACTCCTCTCAACACCAATGTGGGACAAAATTCCCTAGCTCAAACTGATTTTTCCAACTCTTGAGAAATTTAATTGTCATTCACTTCTTACTCATTTCCAACAATTCCCCACATGAATGAGATATTGTTTCGAATCGAACATGATGATGGTGTTCAGCAACTAATTCATACATAGAGAAAGTAGGTTTTATCCTTTGAACTTCCTACTTGTAAAGTATGCTTGCTTTACTAACTGTCCAGTAAACGCGATGTCCTTGAACTATCCGGCTGTGTATGTAAAGAAACCCACATACCGTACATAGAAACCATTTCTATTTAGTTCCATTCTCATAGTTTTGTCCATTTTGGCCATGAACACGTCCTGGTTCTGCAAGCGTTTCTAAAGAACCGAGCCTTAACAGTTCTCCTTTGAAGCGGCCTCACTTCTCTCCCATATAGGTGACTCCTTAAGTCTAGGATAAATAATATTACTTACTTAAGTATCATTAAAGCAATCATTTGCTATCATTTCCGTCATATAACTATTTCATGACAGGAATGAATTGAGGTTTATCCCCCACAGTGATCACATTAAGTCTTATGATTAGGTTGTCCTATTGAACCTAGATCTTGGGATCTCTAGTCAACTTGGTTGGGTTTTCATTCTTAAGACTTTTATCTCTTCAAAGGCTTTACACCCATTCCTTTGGTCAATCTTTCAACTGCCTCTCTATTTAATCCTTTGGTTAGCGGATCCGCATAATTATTTTATGACTTCACATGGTCAATTGTGATAATTCATGTTGAGAGCAGTTGTCTAATGGTATTGTGTCGGCGACGAATATGTTTCAACTTACCAGCATACATAGTACTTTGTGCCCTTCCAATTGCCGATTGACTATCACAACGAATACTGATAGGTGGCACAAATCTTTCCCACTTTGGAATATCCTCCAGAAAATGGCGCATCCATTGAACCTCCTCACCATACTTATCTAACGCAATAAACTCAGATTCCATTGTGGATATGGCAATTACAGTTTGGTTTGAGGATTTCCACGACACAACTGCTCCAGCTAGTGTAAACACGCAGCCACTTGTGCAGTGTGAGTCCTTTATATCAGATATCCAATTGGCGTCAGCGTAACCTTCTAACATAGATGGATATTCGGTAAAATGCAGTCGATAATCACGAGTATGTCTTAGGTAGTTCAATATCCTAATTATAGAAGTCCAGTGTTCAGTACTAGGACTACTCGTGTATGAACTCAACTTGGTTACCACATAAGCACTATCTGGTCCAGTACAACTCATTATATACATCAAACTTCCTTTTATCTATAAGTATTCCACTTAAGATATACCATGTCCACGATTCTTGGATAAATAGACACTGTTATCTAATGGTGTTTTCGCGATTCCAGAATCATTCTTGTTAAACTTATCAAGAATTTTTATTTATGTAATGAGCTTCACTCAAAACTAGACTATCTGTTGTCCTTATGATTTTAACACCTAAAATCACATCAGCTAGACCCATGTCTTTCATGTCAAACTTAGAATTCAACATATTCTTAGTAGATTTGACCAACTCTTCACTACTACCAACAATGAGTATATCGTCTACATATAGACATAAAATGACATAATCGTTTTCTATCTCCTTGACATATATCACACTCATTGATTTTGAATCCACTAGTAATCTTTTTATGGTCAAATATTTCATGCCACTTCTTAGGTGCTTGCTTTAGACCATACAAGGACTTTACTAGTTCACAAACTTTCTTTTCTGTACCTGGAGCTCGGGAACCCTCGTGTTGTTCTATATAAATTTCTTTATCTAAATTTCCATTTAAAAAAGCTGTTTTAACAACCATTTGATGTATTTCTAAATTCTTTAAGGCTGCGATAGCAAGTATCATCCTTATGAAATTTATTCTCGTCACGGGAGAATACGTATTAAAGTAGTCTAAACCTTCTTGCTGTTTATACCCTTTGATTACACGCCTCGCCTTATATTTATTAATGGAACTATCAGGTTTCATTTTCCTCTTGAAGATCTATTTAGATCCTAACGGTTTACTTCCAGGTGGGAGATCCACAAGCTCCCAAGTGTGATTTTGTAAAATTGAATCAATCTCACTTTTTATGGCTTCTTCCCATAAAGGTCCCTCAAAAGAACTTACTGCTTCAGCATAAGTTAGAGGT